GATTGCCTGACTCAAATTTCTCGACCGACTCAAATGGCTAGAATTTCACATAGGACTATTGAGGAAATCCCTTTTCACAATTAGTCATTCGTACGGATTCGATATCAATATCTATAAATGTTCTCTTTGATACTCCGGTCGGTATCATCGCGACTACAAAAATATCACTGAAACAAACAAATAAAACATTTGAATAACATATTTTTTTATTATAATAAGTTCCTTCTTATTATAAATTCTACTAGGGTGAAACATGATATTCATGTAGCCAAAAATGTCATCCTATAATAAACATTTTTATGAAAGAAATAACAGACTTCATGGAAGATAAAGTGATTTCGTCTCATCCCCTATACTACATTTCTTTCATAATATGATTAATGTTTTTAGAAACATAATATTGTGATTTCTTATGTAACATTTATGGATTAATACAGTATATTGGTTTTTTTCATCATCATACAAGCTTTAGTTGTTATTGATGCATAACAACCAAAAGGATTTGGACACGATGTAGCCTACTAAAACGTTCATTGTGAAATTTTTGTTAATTATGATAGTAATAGCAATTACAACCACTGTAATAATGATAGTTTAAGCACTTGATTTAGAACCAGAGATAGGTTACATATTTCAATAATGCCCAACTTACCGCTATGTAAACACTTGAATAATATCATATGAAGTGGTATAACTCAAAGCTGAGTACATGAATTTTGTACACGGTAAGTTCTGTTGATAATGTTAGTGTAATGGATTTGTGAAGATTATTGAATTTTATATTTAACATTACAAACGTACCTTATTTAGAACATTGAAAACCAGGAAACATTAGACAGGTGTTTTTCCCTAGTATTGGTCTCCTCAGCAGTCTTTGTTTATGGACCCCCTAGAAGTTGAATTCAAGCCATTGGATTTTGAAAATAAGTACTTATCGTTCAGGCCATTAAATCAACAAACAGTGGATAACATTTTATCTCCAGTCAACTCGCGGAATTTCGGGACTATCTTCTAATGTTATTAGTGTGTAGTTGCCTCACACTCGACCTAGTTGAACTTTACTGTTCACGACTTGTCACTAGAACTTCATCAATTATCCTCCAAAGTTAGCCACTAGTACGCACATAGGTATGATATGAATTCAGGGACTAATGAGTATAACCGTACAATAACTATAATACAGACATGAAAACGTACTAATCTAACTTTGGCTATTTTTTTCCAGTAATATATTATTACTTCATCCATGTTTCACATAAATATACATATTTAAAACCACACCTTATTCATGAAATTATTTATGTGTAGCATTTAAAATTAGTTAAATGAATTTATCTACTCCTTTTATAACAGTATATGTTGCTTTTCATATTGTAATCAAGCAAATACGAAATTTCTCTACACATTAGTTCTCAACAAACCCTGGTCCTTAAATTCCACCTTTTTTAGTTTTTTAGACTTACTTTTTTTTACTGACTTGTTTTAGTATATCTCTTTTCTACGTATTATTGTTATTTTTTCAATACTTAGATTTTATTTTAGTGGCTCTATAGAAACGTGGATGTTTCTCTTGTTTGTCTTAATTTCATTGAGAGTTGAATGATATTACCAATTCCCACCCATTCCATTTGGTTGTTTGATTTTGTTATCACTGTGTTTGGAACCTGTTTCTTTAACAAAGAATTATATTTTACCTAGTGAGAAAAAAAACTGAAACCAGGGGAAACATTTATTAATTTATGACTTTTTGTGTGTTTGAATAAGACACTGGTTAAGGTTCAATGATATTTATTTAAGATTCCCAATGGAATTTTTAAACAATGGTAATTGATTTATTTCCTGTTCATGTTTATCATCCAGGCACCATTTTTTCATTATCATTGTTGTTTTGGCCTCATTATAGTACACGTACTTTAACTTGATATCACCAGCTGTTAATTAGAAATGTGTAATCACTTGTCTATTTGATGATGAAAAAGATATAGTTGAATTTTTAAATGAAATAACTTCAGATAACTATCTAGCGTTTTCCTAATCTATCGAACTAGAATAAGATTTATTCTTGAATGAAATATTGTTGTTTGAATAATTCCGAATAATTGGAATGACTGTACACTTTGAAGATATCTATCATTTTTAGACACAGATTTAAGAATAAATAACGTTAAAAAATTAGCAAGCACTAAACAAAATTTGTGTCCTAGTACATAGAAGGTCTCATTAGTGCAAAACTACAACTTTACATGGTTTCAAGCTGGTGACCATCAGTTTCATAAAGATTGCTTTATCTTTTCAACCACTGCGTTGCTATTTGATAGTTTACATTTCAAACTTCAGTCTTTGTGATCATTGACAGATATTGACAAAAATAGTGTAACCCGGTAAGTTTTATAATCTTGCTAGGAAAATCACAAGCTATTTAGTTGTTTTTGAATTAGTATTCGTTCTTTCTTGTAATATTAGCTCTTTCACAGTACATTTGTTTTGACTCACTTCTTCACATGACCTTTGCTGTTTTTTGACTGTTCGTTGTCGCTTTTAGTTTACCATTTTTCTGTGTCTTAATGCCAAGTTCGGTGGTCATATATGTTCATATAATTTCACTTTAATTTTGCCTTTGATAATTATCATGGGTAAAGAATTGTGAGTTAGTTGCTGCCTTATCAAGTTTTCTGCAATCTCCGTTCATATGAGAATAATTTTGTTCACAATAAAGAATTTACCGTAGACCTCGGACTGAAAACATCGCAAGATACAACAAAAATAGATCAGCCTTAAGTTCGAACTCCGCTAATTGGTTGTTCCTACATTTTTTTCAGACTATTATTGTAGTTTAAAACTTAGTTTAAAATAAATACTTGATCTCTAAAATTTTATAATTCTATATATATTTTTCTTGATTTTATGTAAACAATGACATTCAGTCTTTTTATAGTTTTTTCTAAAGACTCAAACAATTTGGTTATTGATTGAGATCATGAACCGATTAATTTTAGACCACCATTAAAAATCTAGAGGCACTGAACGGTCGCTTCGTCCTGTTGTGGGACTTCTCAGCAACCCTGGGTTCAAATGTCGCGAGCGGGATCGTGGAAGCCTCCTTCTGAGGAGTCCCACAATGGGACGAAATAGCCGTCCATTACTTCCAGGTTTTCAATGGTGGTCTAACATCAATCGGTTCATAATCTCAATCAAAAACCAACTTGTTTGAATCTTCACAACACCATACTGATAATTTGGTTTTTCCTAAAGTTCATCATTACCTTTTTACTATCATAAATGTCTTCCGTAGATATCTGTTTTTATTCTATTTCAATATTCTATTCTCGTGTCTTTATTACTTCTCGTTTGATTGAATAGATCTTTTTTCAAACTGTGGTCATTTCAAGTCGATCCAATTTGAAAATTATTGTATATATAAATATCAAATATTTCAGCGTAAAGAAAATTTTCTTTCTTCATTGTCATATTCAGTTGATGTGTGTTGTTTTTTCCAATCAGTTGTGAAATTTTATTCCTTTTTTTCACGAAAATAATTAATCAATTAACAAGTCTGATTAGTTTTTATCATACACGTAGTCGATTAAATGTACTCCATATTTTCGTGAGTAAAATTAAATAAATTATTAATCCGACTAGAAAGTATAAAAGAAGCAATCGGAGATGGTGATAAGAAGTCATAAATGATACGATAACATAACTAAAGATATAATGGTGTGATTTATTTTAGAAAATATGTTAATGAAAGTTATTGCAAATTAAATATAGGTTTTTAATTAAAGACGATAATCCTAATTATGATAAAAGAATGAATTGAATTGGTAAATTTTAATAGAAAATAATAGAATTTAATGAATTATTGAGAAAAGAAGATAAGGGTAGAAACGCGAATAGAGAATACGAAAGCTCAAAGAGAACAAATACGATCTCAGTTAATACAGTCAAGTAAACTGTATTTGTAGAGATAGATCATGTTTCATGTTTTGTATTCTGATCACTTCACTTCTACTAAGCCAGAGCACGATAAAATTGGATTTTATCTCATAGGTGAAATATCAAATGATTCTGATGTTAAATGATTATGATCAACTGTATGTTACATTGTTCTTTACTATTATCAGCCCTCTAATGCATCAGAACATAGTTGTTCATTTATGATCTATAGACTAGCTGCATAAAAGTAGATGAATAAGTATATATGCATGCACATCAAATTGTCCAGTCACTTATTCACGTCTTTGTATACAATTGAGGAATTAGTTTTAAATAATTGTTGTGAGTCTGCTTTAGTTGTTTGTGTTATAACTTGTGGCCTTGTACCCTATTAATATATAACGTAGTGATACCGCCAATTAGAAAACAGTGACTTGTCAACTGGATCAATGACGCGTAAACCCGTACGACCAGTCCAGAGTCTCCCTGTCTAGCCTTTCCCGTTAAGTTCAGAACACCAATCCCAGCCTACGCGATATGAATCATGTATTTCAAACATACTGGGTTTATATACAAACCAACAAGACCACATCATACTATAAAATAAAAAACAACACTTATACAAGGTCCAGCCAAACGTTGTTGAGGATGTGGGAGACTATAATGAATAGACTGTGCATAACTCAAGATCAGCAAATCGTATAATAATAGGCTATGGGTCAAAATAAAGCTTATAATAAGAGGATTATGGATATACACAATCTAGCTCCTGAATAATTATTCATTAAGAATATACGTATTATATTTGTACATAAATAGTTCTCAAAATTTACCTTTCGTAATTTTCATTGGAATATAACAGTTTGTTACAGCGACCTATGTAGATAAGATTGCAAAGCGTTTGAAAATATGGAAATACCACTAAGATAACGTCCGTTTTTTATCATGGACTGACATCAATTGGATGAATAATTTTCTAAATCCATCCAATTAAATAATATGTTCCAACAATCATTTTTTCTTTAAGCATTTAAACTTTCAAACTTCCTTTTTCTTTTACCTTTTAGGGCTCATTCATTTTATCCACTAATTCCAGACAAAGTACTCGGTGTTTTGGAGTAAGTTGATTGCATTTTAATCGGTTACTATCCATAGCCTTACTGTTTAGATGTCCAGTTCCATTTGTAGCTGGTATACATTCTTGTAATTTAGAGGTAAGTTTTTCTTTTGTTTATTTCTTCGATCATCATCGCCACTTCCCTCACATAATAAAATTACTCAGATTTTAATTTTCCATTGTTTTAATTTCTTCCCTGTTACAATAGTTATTTTACAACAGTGTTGATTATGTTGAATACTCAATTTTCCCCATCATTTTCTTCTTTTTGCTCAATTATTCATTCTTTGAATATTGTTTTCTTTTCGATTTCTTTCTCTTATATATAATTTAAAAATTATTATTAATCAACATTATCATCATAATTATTAGAAGGCAAAAGAGCATTTAACCGCTGGAACACGTTTAGTGGATTTGGACTTGGGTCAAATTTTTGTGCATAAACCAACTACAAATGATTTACATACTGAACATATGGATATGGAGTTGGGTACACCAAAAGCAATAGTGAGTAATTGTTCAATCAAGTGATTCTATATAATATTTATTGAAAATATGGCTTTTTTAGAGAATAAGAAGTTGAATATGTTTAACAAATGGTAACCTTTTTTCTTCTTAACAACAGAGTTTATCAAGTTAGGAATTATAAAATAACTCAAGGAAAACAATAATTAAGTACCACATGATATCACGAATTCACTGTAGTTGAAGGTGGTGAGCACTGGATCTATAATTCAGTAACTGAATTGTTTGTTTTCCTTTATAAAACTCGAAGTTCTATAGTGCAGTCCAATGCAAGAACCATGAGTACACATGCTGTTGAAGTATCCGAAAATTAGATGAAAATTTTTGTCAAGAATCCTTGATTTACCACAAAACCAGTTCAGTAACTATTTATTCATCTTCGCTTCTTAAAAAGAAATGGAAATATTCCTTGAAAATTCGGATTGTTTTTTACTCAGTTTATAGAATTAACATTATAAATTGTTTTGATTAAAGATCTTTTATCTTTAAAATAAAGTTGACCACTGAATTTCTGATAGTAAATTATTCTGTTTGCATTCAGCGATTTAAAAAAATTAAGTTAGATACTCATTATTGACTCTGAAGGCAGGTTATTTCATGCTGAGAAATATATTTGAGTAACGTATTATTCAGTACACTATAAATTAATCATTCCTTTTTAATATGTTTATCGTAAAGCTTGGTATTCATGCTTTTATTCGATTCGTATGGCTGTAGTTAATGTTACATGCAACAATATTACGGTAATAATATTGAAGTTGTAACTATTTGACTTAATTATATGTAGTGAATTTTTATAGGCCAGTCTTTCCTTCCGACTACAATATATGTCTATCAGAAAATGTTATAATAATCAGTTATAAAAAATACGCGTTTATTATTCATAAGATATATTAACAGAATAGTATCTACAACATTGTGGTTACACATCACATGCTTGTAATATTTTTCTTTTTTTTCTGGATCACTATATAACATTATCATGAGATATTTGGCAAAATATTGCTTACTTTTTTGATAACCAGAAGCTGATTACGTAATAAAGAATTCTGAACGTAAACATATACTAATTGATTAGTTAGTGTATTCGGTGTAACCAACATAAAAGAGGGTCACGTTTACACACCTAAAATAAATCAAAAAATGTCTCAGTACATTGATTTTTATAAATTTATTTCACATCGATTACTAGTCAAATTTTGAGTACACTTTAACTGAATAAAATACAAAAGTGACTTATGGAATCAAATTCAATTTAAATAACGAATGAGACCCATTGTGTTAGTGAAGTAAAAAGAAGTCACTTCAGGGAAGAAATGTTTCTGGAAATCGTCGGAAAAAAAAATTTTCTTCTCTGAATCGCCTTCCTTCTTCAGTAAAATCCAATTAATCGATTTCATTAGACTCAAAAGATTTCGAATAAAACATTAGTTTTTAATCAAACAGTAACAACAATTGAATCCTAGTAATACGAACACATGATTTCATTGGTTTTTATCAGCTACCTATAGTCTTATTCGTAGTGTAAGATAATGTGTAAATTAAATAATCAATGTAGTTGATGCTAAAATGTGCAACCACTTTTATTAGTTCAAAACAGTTCACTGAAGAGTGAATTACCGCTAGTGCTCATATTGTCGACAATTTTCACTCATTTTAAAATGTTCATGTTCAAAGAATTTTAGTTAAGGAAAAAAAAATGCTAATTAGGTATTACTTATTTCTATTTAACTTTTTACCACAATATACATTCTTCACTTAATTAATTGTTATTCAATCTACTTTAAAAATACCCTTTCCTTCACTATGTGATTTCCAATTAGTTGAATCTTAAAACTTATGTAAATCCCCCAATCATCAATAACTATTGCCCTAATTATCATATGGAATTTCGAATTCTAAACAACTACTGTTTTATTCTCTTTATGTTTTTTTTTTAAAAATCTAAGCTTAAATAACCTTACCCATTCTTCTATGTGTATATACGTAATGCTGATAACCCTTATCTCTTCAAATTTTTTTATTTTCCAATATTGATTCTTTCATGTTATTTTATCCTACATTGCGAATAAAGTCGTGAGTACTTAGTGAGAACTGACAAAATTTTAATGCATTCATATTATTTTGCTTTAGTCGTTATTCCTACTTTAAGTTCATAAAAAAAGATCTAACCTTATAAAAAATAATAACTCAGTCATGAGTTTAACTCTGATTATTATATAGTTTTTATTACACATCTAATCAACAAAACGTTACGTTTACACTGATTGGTCTCTAGAAGATTATCAACATTATGTTCCTTTATATCCTAAGCCTAAGCTTCATACTAGTTAGCACTCATCAACAAGGTCACTCGAAGGAATAACAAAGAACTCATCCTACCATACATTTGCTAATACTACTGATATTAATCAATAGAATACTAATCACATGTTATTGTACTCATTTCGATTTCATTTTCTTCCTTTAGTATAGTTTTTTACATCATCAATTAAAAGAAATTCAACGACAATTAAATGAGACGATGAATTCAAAAAAACTAAAAAATGGTGATTGGAAACAAGTTAATGGTGAAATACTTAGATGTTTTGAAAGATTAACTCATCCATTTTTTGAATTGATTGTTAATCTCTTAGGTAAGTTGGTACTAGTTTTCTTGTTCATTTTGTAAACGCTTAGAAAGATTTATCAGAATACATCCGTTTAGGAATATAATAAATCTGACTGTTTATAAGTATATGAGTTTGGAGTTCTCCAGAATCCCTTACTCATAACTTTATAGATAGTTGTTTATCGTGCTATGCCATCCAGTCAATCAGTAACAGCGTAGAACTTCGTACGTACGTACATCAGTTATAGTTGCCATGCCACATTAGCACAGAGATGCAGTTGCCGATTCAAATCCTGTAGTAGTAGAGGTAGTAAGAGTATAAGCAGTAATCGGAAAGATTAGAGCTTAAAGATATTATCCAAGGGGTATAATCCAGTGAAATGAATTTGGAAAGAGAGAAAAAAGGGACATGAAGTATTCAGAAGATTAGAATTTGGGAGAACACAAAGAGTGGATGCACCTGCGCCATTGCAAACGATTTTGAGCCATGTCATTCAAAGTCTCTAACCATCGGTTGCTATCGTCTCGCGGATCCCAACCAAGTAGTTTATACCTACCAACATGGCTCAGTCCACTTGTCAGTGACTTCATGGATTTGTGCCATGTTTCGGTTTGGCCTCCCCTAGCTTTCTTCGAAGCTGGTCCTACACCAGAAAACATCGCACACCGAGGCAGTCGGTGGTTGGGCATACGTAACACGAGTCCCAGCCATTTCAACTGATGAAGTCTCACTACTTCATTAATTGGTCTGCCATCCTTACCTAGTACCCGTTTCCTAACAACTGAGTTACTTACTCCGTGGTCCCAGTGTAGTGAACAGAACACGGGTGGGGACAATCGAATGTATTGAACACAAACTTACAGGACTTGTTAGTAAAATCTAACAATCATAAAGTAAATGCTTAATTTGCAAAATGTCCATCACTTGTCTCAGAATGACTCAGACTTCATTGTTCCTGCTTCTTCATACAAATTGCATTCTGTTTCCATTTTTACTGTTCGATCCTCTTGTCTCTCTGCTGCCAGACCTTCTGTTCTCGACTAACACCATATACTACTTATGTCAATATAAGTAACACACACCACACCAGGATATACGAACAATACTCGAATACTAGTAACCTACGAATATTCTCTACTCTTACCGGCCATGTCTCACTGCCATAAAGTAGGACGGAACGAACTGCTGCGCAGTAAATACGTCCTTTGGTTGATAGACGGATATCTCACCTACGCCATAAATGACGCAAGTTGGGAAAACTAGTCGAGCCTTCTGTATCCGTGCTGAGATTTCGTCACACAACAGACCACAAGGGCTGATGAGACTTCCAAGATAAGTGAAGCGATCGACAGGCTCAACTACTTCATTCCCTATCACTAGTTCGGGTGTCGATGCAACCCAATCCTGAAGCAACATTTTGCATTTCGAGGGAGAGAATCGCATCCCGAACATGCTTGCATTGTTGTTTAGAGTGGTCATAAGACTCTGCATTTTGTTAGCATCTTCATTAAATAGGACTATGTCATCGGCATATTCTAGGTCAAAAAGTGAATCTCCTGGTAAAAGTTCAACTCTTGGAAATTCAGATGAGGAAAGTGTCATCTCTAAAAGTACGTCAACGACAAATTTAAACAATAATGGAGAGAGTGGACAGCCCTGACGAACACCACTTGATGTAATCAATTCTGATGACAGTTGGCCATAAGCTCTTATTCGATCAGTTGTGTTCGAGTAGAGAGCCTTTATAAGGTTATAAGCATAATCTGAATTTAAGCGTGTGCTCCAGAATGAGCGACAGTCTTCTATCGAGCCCCTCCATAGGTGGCTAATAGCGATGTGAACTGTTTGGGTCCAACGTCGGGACGAATTAGGGGGTCGCCATGTCAAAGATGTTTTTCCTTATGCTTAAAGTTAGTGTTTGCAAGAAGCATGCGATTATTTGATCATAGCTGCAACCAAGGGTCGCCATTATCTGATTTTGAACCGCGACACCATAAGATCCACCTAGGTGTCTTTCCCTTTCGCTCAGTTTACCTACTTGAGCATTAAAGTCGCCAGCCACTATTACTACATCAGAGCTCCTAGCTTTTCGAAGAAGGTCGGGAAGCTTTCTGTAAAACTCATCTTTTACATCGTCTGAGCTGCAGTCAGTGGGAGAATAGGCAGAGACGACGAAGAGGCAACGACGAGTGTCCCTATCTTTTCGGATCCTTACTGTTGCGTTTAGTTGGACAGCGCACAAACGACTGTTTACTGGGATCCAGTCTAAGAGAGCTAGTTCTGCCCTAGGACTCAATGCTATACCTACACCGGCGAGGCCACGAGAAGCGGCATCTGGGCTTCCGGATACACGAAGTGTGAATCGAGTTGGTTCTTCATATTGACATGGTGAGGTCAAATGAATGACGCTACTCGAATCCTGTATGCGCGTTTCGGAGACGCAGCACACATCGATGGCGCGAGATTCTTAAGACCCAGCTCAGGAAGCCTGTTGTCCTATTTGGCACAGTGTTCGGACGTTAAAAGCTCCTACATGTAGTTTAGAGCGTGTTTTCAAGAGACCAGGAATAACATTTCGCGTACTCGAATCGTTTGCCCTAGCGGTGCGAGGTGATAAAGAGATGTGAGAAGGGTTAGTCGTGGAGATAGGAGAGTTATTATAATTTGTAGGAAGGCAGCATCGCTGAAGATGCTGGTTGTCCGAGGGAAGCACCTTACTGCTGTCACACCCCTCTTCAGTCAGCAGTACGACTTCGCCGTCAGACCTTGAGTTGCTGCTTTTAGTCTTACCGTTCACCAATCAACCTGCCTGGCATGGTAGAACCTACAGGAACATATGTTCCAGCAAATATAGCTAGGTCGGGTCATCACGATAGGGAATTTAAACTATACCATGGATAAGTAACTACTAATGTTATGCCTTGGTACAAATGTACAGTTTATTCATCATTTTGATTGTTTTGCCACTCTACTATTAATGTTTTATGTATGATTTGTTTACTTTGAAATGCCTGAATTTCACTATCCCACTTTAACTGTGTAGTTGTTTCTGAAAGAGATTTTTTCTAGTTGTTTGTTGATTTTCGTGACTGAATTATGCTGTTTTATGGGAAATCTATTCTGTTTTATACTAAAGTGTAAATTGTCCATTAAATTTGGGGTTCGTGCCGTTATAGCTCCATTGTTCACATTATCATCAGGGTGGATACCAGTGATTGCTTGTCCGTCATCAGTCTTCAGTTCCATTGGTTTAATCAATATCAGTCGGTCAGACACAACGAATGTAGAACCTAGCATATGGTTACATCAATTCAGCTTACCATACCGCGTTAACACAGTGAGACAAAATTATAGAGTCAAGTGTTAAAACAGAAGTGCTAACAATATCAGTAGTAATAGTAGTTGATAATATTAAGTATGCACGACGTCATTCAAGAAAAAGTAATAAATTCGTAGAATAACAAGATGTATAAGATAATTTTGAACATCAGGATCTATGGGAATACATCGGGTAAATACATCTTCACCAATTTTTAATGACATCGAAATTGTGATTTTGATAATTTTATATTGATATCATGAATAAGTAACTTAGTGCCACACTAAACAGTAATCAGCATATTTTTCTATTCCAATCATTCTTTTTGTTGTAACTTAAGATGATTGTTGGCAGAACGATGCAACAAACATTATTTATGCACCAAAAAAAGACTGTTTATCAACTAATTACCAACTATGAATGTTAGGAAGTTTTCTGTAGTATCAAAGTTTCGATTAAGAGATATTGAGTAGAGCAGAACTTCAGAGCTACATTTAAATTTTCTGACAAGAGCTATATTTAAGAAATTGTCGATTCAACTTACAATGTTTTTTGGTTCTCATTTAAAATCTATTATTTCTTTAACTTTCTTTTAGTCAGATTCACAATTTTATTTTTCTCATTGTGTTTAATATGTCGTACATATTTCTGAGTTATCAAACATGTTTCTAATATGATACTCTACTCATAAATTAAGTTAATTTTTTCTGTACTATAACATTTCAAACTTACTTATTTTTATTTGGTTTTGTAGTTCTTATAAATTTCAATTCATGTTCTTACTTAGTGAAGTATGTTATTGAAAATTCTCATTTGCAACTACTTTTGACTGAGAAAAAAACATATTTTTTCAAAATAAAACCTATTTAGTGTGTAATGTAGAATAATTGTATCTCTGTGGTGTTTTTCTAAACTGATGCTAAGCAATCAAAGGTATGATGGAAATTGCATACTCTTAGATAAAACATTTTCATGTCTTCTATTAGTACGGAGCTAAAACTTGAAGAACTACTACAACTATCAATAAAAAAGTACAAGTATTTATTATCTACGCATGATACTTAATGTCCGTTGACTGGATACCATCAGCAACAGCCTACTGTGGAAGAGAACAAACCAGATACCATCTGAGGAGAAAATTAGGAAAAGACGTTGGAAGTGAATAGGACGTACATTGAGGAAGTAAACAAACTGCATCACGAGACAAGGCCTAACTTGGAATCCTGAAGGAAAACGAAAAAGAGGAAGGCCAAAGAAAACACTTCGTTGAGAATTGAAAACAGTCATGAAAAGGATGAATAATAGCTGAAAAGAGCTGGAAAGAATTGTCCAGGGTAGAGTTGGATGGAAAATGCCGGTGGGTGGGCTACGCTCCTCGACGAGGGGTAACAAGAGTACGTATGTAAGTAATCAGTAAGTGGATTAAACTGTGAACCTGCTACAAAATCAGTTTGGAAACAAAGAATTATATTCTATTTTCACATCCTCACGATATATTTTTTAAGAAGATTATTTCGTACTACTCTAGTGAACAAGAACACAGGTGGTTACAAACAATTTATTGTTTATAGCAAAATTACAGAATTCTTTCATAAAAATTTTGAAACCATACATTGAATATTTCATTTGCAAATTTTAATCATTTATCCTTCACATTGTTTATGATTCTTCCAATTCACAATTCCTTTCTATTCTCTTCAACTCGATATTCTTAGCCTTCTGTTGTCAGGTTTTCCACTTCCGATTAGTGTTACATATTACTTGTGCCTGTTGACATGAGCAGCATACACCAAACTACTATTACTATCCACTGTTGCTAAGACTGTGGGGATTTCTGTAATATTCTTAATAATCTATTCATTTCTACTTGTTTATTTTCGATATATCCAATAATTATGTGAAAAATCTAAATTAATTCTCTAACTGGTTTTGCTCTTTGTCTACGAATAGGCTGTTATACAGAATGTTTAATTCGACGAGATGCAAATCCTGAAGTAGATTTAAACGCTCTTATCGCTTGCCAATCTTGTCCTGGTTTAGAATCATTCCTGAAATCTATGTTTGAATCACAAACAATTCAGTTGGTAAGTCTTTCAAATCATATAAATTTTCTATATTTAGGTTTCGACTATTTCATTAATAGATGTTATGCCACAATTTTTTTTGAAATGTGTTAACCACCTGAAGATTTGTGAATTTTTGTGATTACGTAAAGATTTTAGTCATGCAAATAAGTTGACGTTCACACACAAATCTACACCAGTATATAAAGTGATAGCTGAAGTTTTTCGGTCCCAATGATGTCATTTTTTTTCTCAGAAAAATCCTGACAGTTTATTTGATTGGTTTCGACATTGAAGTATGATGCACATGTGATTAGTGATGATGTTACTTTTATTTGTATGCTCTTAACAAATTATAGTGTATAGCTTTCAAGTAATAAACGTTTAGTACAAACAATGATGCATTTTATTGAACTATGTTACTGCTTTTTGATAGTATTATGTATATTCTTGCAAACTTTTTGTTGTTAGTTAGTAGTTAATAGAGTATTCACCGTGATTTCAGATAAAAGTATTTTTGAAAATAACAATGGCATTAAGTCATTTATTCAGGTGACGTAATGCGAAATCACAGTCACAATGACACCATTACATTCATTCTTTGTTGACTTCTAGAATTCAAATTAAAGTGTTGCTGTTTTTTTAAGTATTTCAGTCTATTTTTCAATTTAAATTGTGTTTCTCATATTTTCTTTAGCTCTCCATTATAATTAAAATTATTTAGTCCTTTTGCTCTTTGTTTAACTGGTTTCTTTTCTTGTTCTATCGGTAAGATGTCTGAGGTAATTCATTCTATGTACTTTTATAATTACTAACTGTTGTTTTTAAAATAATCTTTTGATTATTTATCACGAACCATAAAGATGCCTATTGTAGTGAACTAAATTTGATCAAGATCATGAACCGATTAATGTTAGAACACCACTGAAAACCTGGAAGCACTGGACGCCCGTTTCGTCCTATTATGGGACTCAGCAGTGCGCATCCACGATCCCGCTCACGGGTTTCGAATCCAGGGCCTTCAGTCTCGCGCGCGAACGCTTAACCTACTGTAAATGACACTAATAATATCCTTATATTTAACGATGTGTGTCAAAATATTTATAGACACCTTATGGATTGACTTTCTATTATGAAACCTCAAAAAATAAAGAAAGTCACTAATGTTTAAAGAATTACATAAAAGTTTAACCATCTAACCAAATTGATCCAAGTTTATTTACAACATCTATTACGTAATTTTTCATTATATTGAATCTTTTTCTTTGACATCAACATCATTCACCGTGTCGTTCCGTTTCAAAACTGCCTATATTCCATGATTATGCATATAAATAACATATTACATTTGATAATAATTAGATATAGCAGTTTTAAAAGGATAATTAGTAGTCTATTATGTTAACATTAAAAAAATTAATAAATTTATCCAAAATATTTTTTACAGTGTAAATAAATTCTTTTTCATAAAAATTTCAAAATTGAATTAGACAAATATGGTATTATTCACTGTTACACTTGATGATATTCTGTCAACTAATAATGACACTTTCAAAAAATGTATTTACTCTCATTTGTAAAGGGTTGTATTATTAGCGTTTTTTGAGGTACTGGTTTCCATTCTCATTGTGAATATTAACACTGGAACGCGATTACATCCAACGGACAAGTTTCAAATTGAACAAAACATCCATTGTGAATTCACTATCTCTTATTAAATAAAAAAATGTTTATTTTGTTAACAAATCACATTAATAATCTGTTCACATTAATTGACAATAAATGTGATTTGTTATTGATAACAGTTGTGAAAACTGGTTAGCAAAATAATCATTGTGATAAAATTATCTATCATATGTTATATACAAATGCATTGAGAATTAAAGATCATATTGATAAGTATCATATCAAATGTTATACTTCAAGGTTGTTAGTATTCAGTCTTTTTCAATGATTGAAATTGTTTTAACATGTTAATGTGTCTAGTCTGATTACTTTTTCTCATTGTGAAATATTTTAAAAGCAGTAAACTTTTAACGTTCTACATTTTGGAATTTTCATTAATTGATATTGAGATTTTTTGTCATTTTATGGTCGTACTTCAATTTTGGAAAATAGTTTTGACTATGTTTGTGTATATATGTGATATCTCCACTCTCATTCAAGATATCATTTGTGCTTTCATTGACAATGAGGACACAAAGTTAGCTGATGAAACGAAGTTAAGGTTAATAAATTACTAAAGTGTCAAATGAAATATATATCCGAGCGACTATTTTTATGGTAGACTGGTTAGTTTTTTGCTTGCTTTCAACAATATAACAAAATTAAACATATTTTTATTACAATCTGTTCTAAATTGTACTCTAGTTAATAAATTGGTTTTGCACAGCTGGAAGATCCTATTAAATCACCAGTACAATATGCTGCAACTGGTCTGGTTGGAAAACAATTCCAGTTTCTATCACAAATTTGACTCTTAAGTGTTCTTTATGGCGTCATACGCTATCGTTAAAAAAGGTGTTGATGACGTGAACCGTCGAGAAATCTTAAACTAGGCTTAATTAGTTGTACTCTGCCTACCCATTTGATTTAACAATTATTCTGCAACTAATATCAGTCTTGAAATCTTAAAATTCACTTAATCATGTGTCGTATTTTCATTTTCAATTTATAATTAGTTCTTAGATCAACGTTCCAGACGACCACCTGATAAAAAAATTGATTTATTTGAAAATCGTGCGTCTCAATTACGAGGTCAAGCTAAAAACACATATCACTATAAAGCCACCGTATCATTTGGTCCAATATTTACAAGTTCATTATCAAATATTGCATCAAGTTCTACTAAATATGATTTAAAGCTTGGGCGTAAAAAATATAATTTTGGCAGTCCAGAATGGTTACGAGCTAAAAAGTTGAAAAATCCTGGTCGTATTTGTCAAAAAGGATTACCAGAGTCAAAGAAACGTGTTAAATCTGAAAGTTCTTTTACCTGGAATATTTTATCACGAAAGGCATGATTTTTTCTGATATTTTTAATTACTTCAGTTACTACGTTGTCATTTTTAAAGTGTAAAATGTTTCTGTCATTTTGATAGTGTTGAAAAAATGACTTGATGGTTTAACTAGTTTTTAAACAGTTAAATTTCAACCTATCATTCTATACTACTTAAACTTAAACTACAGTTTGATAGCTCTATCTATCTAATGACAAGTTGCGCTTGACTCTAGATAAAATAATAACAACATTTGATATAAAAGAAAGTTGTAATATTTCATATACTCTACTTTCAATATTGTTAATATATGTTAAACAATACTCTAACTGCTATCACAAACGAAATCTAACCCTGAAGGGTATTAATGGAAGATAGTTATTTCTCAGCATCAATAAGATGAATATTCTGCATAATTCGAATAATGTGGGTCAAAAAGTTATAAATAATTGGTATCATTTAAGAATTACAGCTGAAAATCTTTTGTTAATTAACTGCTATTTAAAATTATGTAAAGGATAACTGTATTGTTATCTTGTTGATTAATAACGTACTACAATGTGATAGGTCTTCTAAATTTAGTCAATTCACCACGTACCACACAAAACTGTCTCAGTATCATACGAATGGTTATCCGTTACGACTTCCCAGGTCATGTCTTGATGAGATCAAGGGGTAGCTTAGTAGTCAAAAGATCTCTACTTTCAATAAATTGGCCATAAGTTCAAACTTCACGCTATGTAGGTTGGGGTAAACGGGTATTATCACTTGTTTTCCCACGAAAAACGTGTAACCGAAAGCTATTATTAATAGAATGTTAGAAATACATGTACTTATAGTATATATACTTTTTGCGTAATATAAACGGAGGTTAGTACCCAGAACTATTGAATGTTTTACTTCTAGACTCTGGGAAATATTTAAATTTTCAGGTTTCATTCTTGACAGATTGATTTCAGTTGGATTACAGTTAAAAACTTGGGAGTAATGGACAACCGTTTCGTCCTAGTGCGTGACTCCTTAAAGGTGCTCACCTACAAACCCCTCAAAATCGGTTTGATGAATCATATTTTTGTTGGTTTGAATGGCACACAAGCTTCCCTACATTTATATATATATTTTTTATCTTCTAGAGGGGATGATATAAATAGTTGATGAGTTTTTATTAGAATGGAAATCCTTTTCAAATATTTGATCTGATATAGAATCATAGATTTGTTTTAGGAAGTCTACCTCTACAAGATATCACAAACATGTAGCTAATTATAATTAAGCAGGAAGTAACGACATAGTAGTGGCTGATTATACAGGCTTTGTGGTATATAACTGAATTATCTGTTTTTTCGCTCCATTCTTGGTTAACACTTACATCTTGTCAAATCTTTATAATAAGCCTCTTTTGTTTCTTTCATTTCGCTTAAATAAAAAAGGCTGAACAATCACTGGTTTCGTATAAAAATAATAAGTTTGGTTCAATGGATATAAATCCAAAGCATACACCGATAATGGCACGTATGCAGGATATAGATCATTCGTCTTATCGAAATCGTCCGAATTCTTGTTTTGCTAATACTACGCCCAGTTTTGCATCTGGGACTCTTCTTAGTAGGAATCAATTTTTTAGAGATTATCAAAATAATCAGTTGGAAATACAAACTGGTGACAGTCGGTAAGTCATAGTATATTTATTGCCAAGTCTTATTAAGGTGATGGTTCTTTCTTTTGTCTATTCATGGAAGCAGTAGTATTCACCCTGGTGATTAGTTTACCCCTATGTTTATTAGTTGTTAATATATAACTTATGTAACTGCTACTTTTGATGAATTATTCAGAGATTTCTAAGTTGAGATGATTTTCTATTTTTATTCCCACTGTAGTTCTACGTCTTAATCGATCCACAGAAAGTACATCATATCTAAACATGGGATTTTCTATTCGTCGTTGAAGTTGATAAGTGACAAACTCAATTTTTTAGTTACCTGTGCTACAAATGACTTTGCTAGCTAGTTATTTTTATCTCGATGCTGTGATCAAACTTATCTATAAAACATATGTATATCTACTGTGGTCACACGTAAAAAATAGTCAGAGCCTTTCCTCGTAAAACGCATAACTTTATTTTGTTTATTTGTCAAGCTGATAAATGTTTTTCGTATTTCAGGAAGCTTTCCATTGGCTACGATAAGCTCATCAGTGTTGAAAACACCGTTTAAAAAATGCTTTCTTACAGAAGCGTATTACAACTATTCAAAGGTATAAAAGCAATAAGAAATACATATTTCATTCGAGTTGTGGTTGTAATTCAGTCCTTCTGCCTTTTTTCGTCTTTGAACAGGAAATTCCAACAAAACGGTCTACTTCTAGCCATTATATATATTATGACTGTTTCCGTGTACTTATCACCTAAATAATAGCTGATTCGCTGAAAAATTCCCATTGTATTAAAACATAATTGTATGAACGAAGAATATTCTTGTCAATAATTTCTCATCAGTTTCTACAATTATAAATCCAAATTAATAATCCATATGATTGGCCAGATTTAAGGCAGAGTACATCATTTGGAAATTGTAATATGTGAATTGAGAATTGTTGTTTATCATATAAAATCAAATCAAATGGTTATGTTGGGGCTCTTTAATATAGTGTTAACTTGAATCAGTTTATAAGCGAAGTGAAATTGTGCGATAAATGATCAGAATAAATATGGTCAACATGGGGTGAGAGAAAGAGAGAGAATAATGGAATAAAAATCAGAAATTACGTAATATGTAGAATAATATGAATTAGATCAGATATACTAGATAGGGATTCTTGATTCACATATTACAATTTTAAATGATGTACTCTGCCTTAAATCTGGCCAATTTTATGAATCATTAATTTGGATTTATAATTGTAAAAGCTGATGAGAAATTATTGACAAGAATATTCTTCGTTCATACAATTGAGTTTTAATAGCTGATTCATTACCATGATTTCCCTCTAGATGTTGACAATGATAAGCAAGATACTTACTTACTCCTGTTATCCCTCGTGAAGGAGCATAGGCCAGATAAGCAAGATAGTTTACTTAAAATTGATCGATCACGAAGTAGTGGCTACTGTTACGTATATAAAGTCCTTCCTAGTGCTGATTGACCTATATTGATCAAGTTTCAATGTGGGCACTAGTTTGAGTGTTTTAAAATCGTGTGCATTATGTCGAGATGTAAGGTGGTGGTTGGAAGTAATCGTCAGAAAACCCTGGACCTAAGTTTCCTGTTGCTTGGCATTCGCCAGCAAGGTGTACATGTAAGCTTAAGAGAACTCACGTTCTCTGGTCGACTCGATTTTACGTCAGAGACGTTAGCACTCAGCTATTGTTGATGAAGAATATGTAAGCAACTAAGGATTTTCTACCTAGATATTTACTTCCATGGAAAAAGGACCCAGAAAAAAACCTATTCACACTGGTAAATGATATTCGGTAGCGATATTTTCATAGTATTCAAGTTAGCAAATCTACACTAAGGTATGGTAAACTAATGAACTCCGCAAAACTACCACAATCTAACAGATTTCACTGTTTTTGTGATGAAATTCACTTGATTTATTTAGGTTCTGTCCTAATTGGTCGACGTGTAGTTTCAAAATCTCAAAGCATTTTGCAACATCACTGAACGTCGGACCGCAGAGAGCCGTTACACTACTCGAAGACCTTGTGCCTTTCTCAGAGTTGTATATTTTCTTATGTGGTTGTTTTTTAGAATAACGACTTTTTTCCATGGTTGGCAGTTTTTAAACTGCTTCGAAGTATTCAATTAATTCACCTATGTATTTTGCGTTATTTATTTATTTGTTAAGTACGTACTATGGTACAATTCACCAATTGAGGCCGATAAAAGTGTTTCATTGATGTTTCCCATTTACCAACATGATAAGAAACAGAATATACAACTTTCTAATAGCAGTCCATTGGTTTTCCCAGATTCTGTTACAAATTTCTCTCTCAAATTTTTATTATAGTTCTTCAGATTCTTCATTCAAATCATCCAGTAGTCCATCAAATCATTTTAATCTATCTGATATGGAATCCCATAAACCATTAAAACGTGAACCGCCACCACGACCTCCTCCACCTCGTTTTCTTCATAATAATAATCATATTCAGTTGAAAAGTATGCATCAAATGAAATCACAAACTCTTGTTAATGAAACAAGACAATCAGTATCACTGCCAAAAAATGATTTCACAAAATCATTCGCAAAATTAAATCGTATCAAAAGCGAAAAGGATGCTGGTGTTATCTCATCAGTATACGGTGAAACATGTTCACTAACTCACGCCAGACGCAAAACATGCCCGTCCACTGATAGCTTAACTGCATCTTCTCCTCCACCGTTACCTCCACGTCCGCATCTTCCATCTTTGGATTGGGTTAGTAATTCATTTTTGTTTGTCACTCTTTTTCTCCCTTCCATTTTCATACAGATCAACTAAGACAAAATTTGCTTTGCTTTACTGTACATAGAAAGCGCACAGCAAGTTGAATGAAAATCTGCACCATCAAGAAATATGTTGACAACAATTACGACTGAAGAAGAGAAAAAGTGTTTAAGGATCGAATTGTTTTCTAGCTATATCACTTTAAATGTACAAGTGATTTTAAAGCATTACTGAGAACCAGAGTCGGTAAAAGCCTATATCCTAGCAAATTAGCAGTGAGTGTTTTGATCGACTGTAGTCGTATATTAAACTTCCTAATCTATAAACTTCGAATAACCCGTATAAATGACAATCCAACGAAGTCTAATGCTGTATAGAAGTTTACTGAATAAAGCATTTTGTGAATATCTACCTAGTTATATTCACTTCACAATAGTTTTTATTCCTTTTCATATTTTTACTGAATCCATAGTTTGAACATTTTTATATTTTTATAATAAACTATGAATAACAATTACAGCAGAATAATATGAAGCCATTTTATTTTGCGTGTGTTCCTCAATCGAAAATGAAAAATTATCACTAATCGATTATATGAAATAAGTTTTTTTAATGAAATTCTTTTTCCTTTATCTACTGTCTGCTCACTATTAGTCAATCGTTTTTATGCATGGACATCTATATTCTAATGGTAATAACCTCTATTCCATGCGTTTTATGATTTCCTCTTGTTCAATATTCCTATGCCATAAATAAATAACTACATTAATCTTTCTTAAGGTTTTCACATATCTATCGCCTTTGATATATCTACCCTTTCCAACATACTGTCTCGAACTTTGGTCCATACTTATCACGAAACACAATATTAAATCATAAGCATCCAGCCGCCAGCTCACACTTTATCACGTAATTACTGTAATTATAGTTGATTGTAAATAGATATCTGAAGACATTCCATAGCATAAATAGAAATTTAAATGACTTCATACTACAAGTACGGAAAATAAGACAAGTAATTGTCTGACAAATTCATCATTCAAAAAAAATTGTAATATTTGCAAATTAGAAAGGTCATTCCATAAAGGTCAGTAAATTGTTCAATCACAATAAGATAATAGTACTATTGCAAAATTGAAAATAATTTTGTCAACCGAGATAATAATATTGTTGTGTGAATATAATATGTAATAAGGGGGGTGTTATCAAGGTAATTACGGTCAACAAATTGGGAATGATGGATATGAAGATTAAGATATAGATAATGACAAATAATGATAATAAGGAAAATAAATAAAATAAAGGAAGGGGTAAGAGGTTTACAATATTCAGCCTAGGTATTAGATGACCCAGTCGTAGGCCAGGGTAAACATAGAGGCTGGATATATTTTTTCTGGATGCATAAATTAGGTCTTCTGGAGTTGATCCAGATGGCTTCGGCTGTGTAAAGCAGTCGTAATCTAGCTCCTTGAGGTAGATATTTTGGAACTTGATATAAAACAGAGAAAGCTTCCTCTATTTTGATATGATGTTCACTATCTACCAAGTGAGAAAGAATGGTGCTGTTAATCGATTTGGTGACTCCCTTTCCCAACCATGCTGGTACATGTTCACGAACACGTAAGGATAAAGCCCTCTGAGTACGGCCTATGTAACTAGCTCCACAGGAGCAGTTGAATTGGTATACACACATGGAGGAGCCCATCTTCGGCAACTTATCCTTGATTAGTTATGTGAGTATTGGTTTAGTCGAGAAAGTTATGTGTAACTTGGCGGCATGAAACGTCCTCTCGACAGATCTTTTGAGTCGACGTGTTAGAATATCACCCGCTATGTCGCCTTTAAAGTCAAGTTTCAGATATAAGGTCTTTTTACTGACTGTGCCGCAATGTCTTCTCTTTTTAATACTTTATACGAGGTTTTTTTGAAGTATATATATATATATATATATATATATATATATTTGTTCAGTTGAGATTTACACCACACCTATATACACAAATACACAATCACAGATGTAGTTGTTCAGTAGTTAAACAACTCGTCTACCACGTTTTTCCACTTTTCGAAAACGCATATTAATTTGAGTTAAATTAAATCTGTTTTAATTGGAATATTATTTCATTATGATAGATTACATGTCATTTGTCTGTCATAGAAATGTCATTGATGATATACCTACAAATGTCATTTAGAATTTTCTGTTTACTCGGTGTTAAACATATATGCACTTGTTGTACACTAACTATTTATGCATCACAATACTTTTGGTCTGAAAAATTTAGCGTTTTCAGTGTGTAATTCTCTTTACTACGTAGCGTTCTCTTTTCTTTTATTATTTATCATAATGTTATAAACATTGGGTGTTGAGGCTTACTGGGTAGTGGAAAAACGTTAGATAAAATATATACGCTTACTTATTAGTAGTTCAAAAATAATTCACAAAGTTTATTCCATACAAAATGTCAAAACTAATTGTTAGAGGTGCAAGTATAGCGAAAGGAATGTACGTTGTTTAGATAATTAATTGATATGTACTTAGAGTTTGTAAGTGACTTTTCTCAAATAACAAAATTTATGAACTTTTTGCTTGAACAATTGACAATAAATTTTATGTGAGATTTTAATAAATATATTTTTGTAATATCCCAATGAGTAGAAAATTGTATTTCAGATGTTTTGTGACTTCATATTTGCCACTTCTTCAAAGTAAATAACCGAAATAAAACTAACACAGATTCTGGTTATTCATTCATCTTGAAAAAGTAACTAACATTAAGTCACAGGATTTCAGAAATACAACTATGTACTTATTGGGATATCACAAAAATATATTCATTATTTATTTTCTACCCAATATTCAACTTATTTGAAATTATCAAGTCCAACCTTGGCATTGATACTTATATGTGAGTTAAGATTTTTTATGTTTGAATTTATTACAGGTTACGGTAATTATTATAATTTAACTGTTGCTTCAAATATTTCTTTACATAAATCAAAAGCTGTCATTAGTCTAGTAGACGTCTATTGTTTTCTTTATTATTTCTTTCACTTTCTTCGATTTATGTACAATAAAATAGTTATGTTTGCTTATTTTGTAACACTACAGTAAATAAATAATACAAATATATGAATTCCCCTAGTGCATTCAACTCTACATAAACGGTTATATACTGATTAACTGGAAATGTTCATTTATATCGTTTTTATTTCACTTCATTGAGATTTATCTCAATAAAATTCTTATACTGATTGACCGTATTTATCTCTTCTTATCGATCGCATGTGTATTTACTTTCTCACGAATCATGTTTTATTGTTTAATTGATATACATTATCCTTAATTATAAAGTGTTAATAAGGAATAATGACTGACTTATTATAAACTTCACTAACTACGAGTTCTTCAAAGAGAAGGATTTCATCTAAATATTCTTATCCTTTGTGTCTTTTTATGTGATTTCATTCAATGAAAACTTTGACTCATATTTTAACTAAAAATAATAATTCCCTGCTCGAAAGTATGTTTTGCTGATTTCTATGAATAAATAACTCAATATATTGCATAATTATTGGTTAGTTAAACATGCATTGCTTGTTTATATCAGCTGACTGTATCAACATATGTACATTCTCTTTCAATACCTTCAGCAATTTATCGTCTCAAGTTTTATTTCATTAACTTCACAACATGAAAATTTTCAATTAAACATTTTATGAAATCCAATTTGAAGCTAGTCGATTGTGAGCACATTATCATGGGGGTATATTGTTAACTAGTCACCAACTTGAACGAAACATCTCTGTCAGTCAGTAATTTCTAGTCTTTTAACTAATGTTAATTAATGTTGGAAATTATTTGTCATTTCAACATCTCTACACAATCAACCATCTTATTAATAATTAATAAATGCTCTCTAAAACTAATATAAATTATATATTGAATACCTGTTTGATAAATGATGTTTATTCTCATTTTTTAAACAATCTTTAAATAGTTTTCATGATAATGATGATTATCGTCTAAATAATAAATGTATTGTTGTTTTTCTTCTAACATAATACTTTCTTTCTTTTTAGGTCAAACGTTCAACTACATCTCTTCAACATATAGACAAATGTTTAAATAAATCAGTGAATGGTTATTTGCGTAATAGTAACATGAACTTGGATAAACCAAGAAATGGAACATCTTTATGCCGACCATTGAAAATACCTATAACTATCAATTCATCTAGTCAGCGTAGTCGTCATCAACTCACTGGTAATAGTAATGGAATAATTGTACCACGTTCTTCTGGTGCTAACGTTCCGCCACCATTGCCACCTAAGAAATTGTCACTGAAGGTTCAACCACCATTATTATTGAACTCCAATTCTTTAAAATCTGTTTCATCTGAATCCAATCCTAACTTATTGATGACAAAATCTACAACAACAGACAGTAAACAACTATCTCTATGTGTGTGTTAAATTACCATTATATATATAATGCTTTGTTTGTATTTTTCTTTATATTTTGGCTGATTTACGTACTTTTGTGACCGCTTCATGTAGTTTAGAGCTTATGAACATCAGTAGATGCAGAACCACTGGAAATCAATGGCTTGTTGCCCTTCTAATAACACCTACTGAACTCCACAGCGGTGACGAAGTAGGACCTTTTGATCTTCACTTGAATTAATAATAATAGCTCACTTATTAGTAATTAACCCAAGGATGACTTTTGAAAAGTCTTGATTGATCAAGTCGATTGAGTAAAGTGAGTAGTAAAAGTGAATAAACTCTTCAGAGACATTCAATAAAGTAAGCAGTCAACCATGAATCAAAATCACATGTAAATGAGACCAAATATTCACTATTAGATCTGACAGTCATAACTACAATTTTATATGATTATTGAATGTTTAAGAATTTAGATTAGAATGAAACGCATGAAGTTATCTCAAAATTTGCAACTGATATATATATATATATATATATCACATGCCTCAATTCAAATACATTCTACTCTGAATAGAATCAATGTCTGAACTTGATTGAACAATGATTTCGTTTTGACTCTATTTATCTTTGATAATTTCTATTATTACCTCAAAGAACGTGGAGTTAGTTTACCGGATGCTAATTCGGCAGCATTTAAATCCAGTCACCAATGTAACTCATTTACCAAGTGAATATTCATTTTCTTGGTTCAAAATCATACATCAAGTTGGAGGATAGTGATACTACCCAACTGCTTAAACTAAATTAGATGGAATAAGATTTTATGCGGTAACCGAGTGATTAACAACTGGACGACCCAACCACTAAATCATTGCTTTACTATATGACTACTACCTTCACTCCTACTATCACTAATGGTTTTGCGCATTGGATTTATATCTGATATCTTATGTGTATACTGGGCGTTCAATGTTTATGGAACCATTTATTTAAAACTAGAAATTACACATCATATATCTTCCTTTTCATATTTCAAACAGGTGAACGCAGAGCTAAACGATTTCAAAGTTTAAATGATAAAAGCTTACAAATAAATCCAATCAAAATGACTCTTCCATTAAAACTGACACAAAACAATAAGAGTATACAATCTGGACAAACAGACACCCACAAAAAACAAACATCTCATGAGTCGATATCACGAATTATAGATGGTCTATCACTTGAGTATCAAAAATCAAATTGTTCCACACTATCACAATCAGTTTCAGATATTCACACTCGATCTGGATCGTATTATTCTATCGCAGAAACAAAAACGAATCCTTTAAATGTACCAATAAAAAATTCAATTTCAGAATTATTATCGGCGAAAGAGTTGTCTTTAGATGTTCAAAATACTGACAGTAATAATGGCAATAGTGGTGAACATAGACTACGTGTTCGATTAAAATATGGGACAGTAAGTTGAAAAAAAGGAAGGCAGTTAATTATTTATATGCATGTTTAATTGAGTTTTGTTATTTTTATACTATCAATTTATTAGTCTGCCGATAATTTTTAACATGATTTTTAGATAAAAGCTTGAATATTTTAAATATTTGGCAGATTCGAAATTTACATGGACTGTCGACTAACATTTTAGTGACTGTACTTGATTAATCATTGTAATTGCTAGACATATTTACGAAGTTTGGATCTTTTCTTATGAAATGCCTCTTACCTAAATGAAGTTGCATATTTCACTAAAACATTAAGCCTGACAGTTATTGATTTAGACAGTGCAATGTTATTTAGGCGTTATGATTAAATACACGGAGAAATTACTGTTAGTAAAAAAGCTAGATTTTTTTATTATTGATTCATAATACTTTATTGTTGTAAAATGATATATCACTGTGCTTATGTCCGTAAACGGATATTCAGTTAGTTATCATCACAATAGTTCAGTGGTAGCCTCTCAGAATGTGAAGCTCGAAGACTTGAGTCCGACTTTCACTTGAAGCATCAGTTCCCGCAAGGTTGTGGGTGCATAATGCTGTCGAATACACGAAAATTATGTTCAGAGTTTACTGTGAGCTACCTCCAATCGCCTAATACTGAAAAATTTCTATTTCGTCATCATTCTGAGTTATATTCATTGGACTCAATTCTTTGTGATTGAGCACCGCAAGCTATGGAGATAGGTAAGGTGTAATTAATTTGTTGTCAGACTACACTACGTAGAGTAACCGACCTGGATGCGTTAGCTAACAATCACTTATCAATATTTGATAAAAGAAAATCCAGGTAGTAACGTTTGTAAAATGGTATTTAAACTAATTTACTTGACACTATATTTAGTGTTGATTAGCTATTAGTAGTGTCAACACAGTTACTTAATAAAATTTTCCAATTATATTATTCATAATCGAGGAGTAAACTTCACACATTAAATTTTTCTTATAGTATTTACCAGGTACCAAGCAAATCGTATAAGTTAAAATAAACTAGTGATTTACCTGACAAAATGAAACTGATAGCATTTGTTATTAATCCGTATGTGTAGATCTAATAATCGACTCAATATTTTGAACAAACTTTGCTTTCTGTTAAAACTACTAATGATCTAGACTTGCTAATATTAATTCTGATAAGGTGATTGATGTAAGATATACTTATACTGTTATAACAACTCACTGTCTCTGGACTGATTAAATGTCAACATGTCGTAGGATTGAATATTGTCAGATAACAACTGATAAACTAAGTATAAAAATAATAATTATACAAAGTGATCAATGATCATGAAGTTAGGTTTGTGGAGACCGTTTCCTCGGAGTATGGATATACGACGGTTATGGATCCCAAACTAAGATTAAACGTAATATGTGTTTTCTAGTTTCCAATTTACCTTCAGTTAGTATCATTTTGTAACGAAAATCAAGATTATTTTACATTCAAATGAAAACACTGACTTAGAGGATGATTTTTATGTTGTTTATCCGTTTATTATTGTGAATATCAAATCAGACTTCCCCACAAAGAAGAAGTAAATCAACTACTGTGCCAAATTTAACATTACATCGTGCTCATACTATGTCTGATTATCAGCTTCCACGTAATAATTTATACAGAACAAAATCAATGAATGTACCAACGACTAATTTTGCACCAATAGCTTTCATGGAATCACATCCAGTAGAACTACGTTGATTAGTATTTCACATAGAAGAACAACAAAGACAAAAGGAATAAACAATAAGATCTCTGAATATTATTTGTTAGTATTAGTTTTGATTATCGTCAAAAACGTTTTACTCCCACACAAATTTAGGCTTGCTGATGAGAAAATAGCCAAAAAGGCAACTGAAGATGGAAACTATCACAAATGTTAAGTAATATATTTATCTTTATCTATACTATTTTAATATGTTATTTGTTGTTGTACACTACTCATATAATTAGTACCGCTGTGATATTTTTACAAAATCATAATGATAATAATGATGTCACTGTCAATTGTTGATTAATTTAACACTTATCTACTCCCTTATTCTTTTGTACATAAGCATATTAACATATATATACCTCTGCAGATATATATATATTACTGATAGCAATGAGCATAAATCACGACAAATTATTGACTATTTATTAAAATATGCACCATTCTGATTTGATCTTTGTGAACATTACACAGAAACAAAATAGAATTCAAATACTTTCTCTTTCTTTTTTTCGACAAAGAGTCTATTACAATTCATTTACATAGAAAATCACTCGGAGTTTTTCTTAGTAGTTTTTCAATTTCTTTTTCTCATTTAGACAAATGACTTGGCTTATTCTATTTTTATTTGGGATGAACATATAACGATTGAAATTTACATTAATATCCCTATATTTAGATGGATTAACTGTACATGGCTGTTTCTTGTTGCTTTATTTCCTCTTTAATTAATGGAAAGTAACGTAAATACAATATGGCCAATAAATGTTGAATGTGGAGAATATTTTCTTTATCAATGTGTTCTATTTTCTTTTTTATTCCTTTAACGATGGGTAGTTACGGAATAATTTGGTTTGTGTTAGAACTTTTCACTAATATTCTAGGTGCTGAGTATACACCATAGACTACTTTTAGTTGAAAAAAAACTTGTAAAAATCAACGTACAATGTTATCTATATTCAACTTGAACAGTCTTCACAACCTCGCATTTCAACAATAATTTTGCTAGCCGGTAATTAACTTCTAGAAGGATTTCTGAAGTTCTAGGGAAAACTTATGATAAATGGAATTCAACTATGTTTGAGGATAAAACAAATATCACCGATCATACTAGTTGGTTGTCGCTCAATATCCTGTTGGCTAATGTTTGGAAATTGAAGTATTCGGATGTCAGCTTAGTGATTTGAAAGTAAAGTTTGTCGCAAAGCCGAAAGACTATGGATTTGGTCTTTGACGAAACCATGGTTACGTCATGCTAGAACGCTTCCTACTGGGACGAAACATATGTCTAGCACTACAACAGTTGTGTAGTCAGTCCGCAATGCATGGTACATATACCAGTAGACTGTACAGTGTTTCAGCGCAGTCAGTTGTTAACTGTTGAAGAGACCAAATTATTATCTCTTTCAAAAGACTGCACAAATAGTAAGACAATATACCACTATACAAGATATCACTACAAAAGTAAACATGAATAAATGTCTTCTGAAGTATAATCAAAGGTAGGATACTGATTTTACAGGTTAATCACCAGCTTATGTGCTTATAAGACCCAACTATCAGGCTTAATTTTTTGCCACCACAACCCATATATATGTATAGCCTTTTCTGCAAGTCGAGTCTAAATGAAAATAGAACCAATCTGAAGACAATTTTCGTTCATCACTGAACATATAATTTAAATCATGTTTGATTTGAGAAAATATAAATAGTACATCATTCAAACATGAATCTACTTAATGTTTCTTTCCGAAATGTGAAAAGTTAATTTGTGTCTGAGCGAGTAGAAATTGATTATTGAAGTGTTTAATTGATTTAGCTAGAAAGATTATTACTGACAAATATTTCACCTCACAGTCGTTTACTTGCTTTGGTTTTTACTATTACCTTTCTCTTGGATTTATTAGCTCTAACCCTTTTTTAAAGGTAGGAAACAATTTTATAAGTAAACTGATTATTAACAGATAATAAAATATCACACACAAACTATTTTCAAGTAATAAATTATTTGTTCAATTCGATATATACGACTCAATAATCAAGTTACTATTGGTTCTAATATGATCATGAACATTTGAATGCTTGGTGTATTCGAAAGTCTATTTCACTCGATTTCCGTATCTTTCGCTTTATCACATTTTCACCACTATTATGAATATCACTTAATTCCCTTTCTGGTTTCCCATAATCTGACTGATATAAAGGCTAAGAAACCATTCATTAGTACGAAGCTGTGATATAGAAACATTAGAATGTACATACAGTTTTACCTGCTCACTGAGTAGTGTTAATATATAAATCTTTAAAGTCAGAGTGAAAGACCATGTTATGAGGAACGTTTATTAATATCTACAAACCATTTATTGTTCGACAGACAAAAAGTGAATTACGGCAAACTGATAGCATAATTTTTGTATCAGTGTTATTCGCATAACTTATAAATATAAACGAAATCCTCAACCAATGTTATGACAAAGACTGATAAATATGTATATCTTTTCATTTCAAAACTATTAGGTCAATAAAATATTGGAATGTTATTATGTACAAACTGGTAAAGATTTGTACAAAATATTCACTCAAGTAACGATCAAACCACTTTGAGAACGACCTAGCGAGTGGAAGGATTGGTCAAATTAAAAAACAGATTCATAAATTAGGTGCTATACCTTATCAGTTTTGTATGGACTGTCAATCACTAACATATGTATTCAAGATGTTATATTTAATAAATGATCACAACTGAATAGAACTACATCTTAATCTAATATGATCACTGTTAACATAAGTATAAACCACAGTGTTTCGTTCTCTTGTTTGGCTGAAAATTGAGGTCGTTTTGGCTTGTGTTTAGATATTCAACATTAAATTGAAACAAATGTCAAATAACACTACATATAAAGTATGATTTGATTTGTACAAGGATAATCATTACAACTACTAATCATTTAATTGAAAATGGCATGCTACAATGTGTAAGACAATTATAGAATTTTTTTTAGAATAGGAATCCATAAAATATAAAGTGGTATTGTATTAGTTTCAGGCAGCATTTGACACTTTCCTAGACATAGTCTAAAAAAAGTAGAGAAAGATAATTACACTTTGTGTTATTACAATTTACACCTAAAAATGAGTGACAAAAAGGTAGGTAATTCGTATCATGACGTTACTTATCTATTGGTGGGGAAGGGCTTGATGGTTAAAATATTCGACATATAGCCAATAAGTTCCAAGTTCGAATCCCCTCCATCGATTTGGGTTTAGACAACCGGGTAGTATCATCAGCCCTCATACTTAGTGTGGCTCATGCCCAAGAACGTGGTGTATGAGTTAACTATATTATATTATTATATTAAAACCTAAATCTCTCGTCCTATTCATCACTCTAAAATGTATTTTGCTTACCTGTATTTCAGTTTTTGTGTTTGTATTGAGAATAAAAACTAGCACTTGCTACTTACTGCATATCAAACAGTAGGTTACGGCAGTGTTTCTTGTCGTAAAAGTATGTGTCTAAACCACTTCATCTTATTTCACAACTACAAAACGTAGGCGTTGAAGCTGGCGATTATGAAAAAGAAAGCTTGAAGATAGGTGTCTTGAAACCACTACTCGTAGCTAGTGGATGAGGCTGCCAGACAAAAAGTTTATAAAGTGGAAAACCTGAACCAACTGTGGTACAACTCAGCTGAAAGCTTATACTAGTTGACAGAGGAAATTGTGATACCAATCGTATAGAAAAGTGAAAACACTAGGTAGGGTTATCACAACGAAAGAAGTTAGTATTTAGAAGATCTGGGGAATACGGCTAACTATTTATCGAGACGATATGTATGGACATTATTTTCCTCTGAATTTCATATCTTGTTACTTTTGCTTATTCGTCCTTTACCTCCTTTTAAACGTTTCTACTTGTTTCTTCGTTCTGCATTATTGCAGATTGTAGTGGTTCTAATACATAACATTTTTACACTTTCCTATTATGCTATTTAAATTAACATGTGATCTCGTAACCGATATGTAGATTTTTCCTGAATCCATTAAACGCTGTAATTTGAGGTTCTGGGGAACATTGATGATGAAATTCTGAGTTACCTTTCGGACTTATTTGGCGGCAGCCAACAAAATATCTTGAGATCCATAATTCATCTTGTTTGACATTCGTTATCAGAATAACTAAAGATCAGTGTTCAAGTTATTAGTGGCTACGGCCGCCACACATACATATCGCAAGTTCGTTAAACTTCAAGAAACATAAATGGCGTAACATAGATTTATATCTAACCCTTGTAAATTAGATTATATCAATGCTTAAAAAACAACAAAACCTGGAACTAACAAAGTTGTTCAGGTAAGTATTACTTACGACAAGGAAATTTTGCACACAACGATCATACTCTGAAACAAGTTTGGAACACAAAAGTATTCTTCCAGGATTCTGCTTATAACAATCTTCGACTCTTTGTTCAGCTGCAGCACAACACCCCCCAGGAGTAGGTCTCCTACAATAAAGAACAAAAATTATTCTAAAACCAAGCATTGAAAGCTATATGTTGTTTTACCATTATGAAAATAATTCATTTTATCTGAATAGTTTAAATAAGAATATATTGCCACTTTACTTTGGATGTCAATCAAAGTGTACATATGTAAACCATCGAAGTAGACAATAAATGTAAATATGCAACTCGTGAACTATATAAGTATTTATTCAGAACGGTAAAGATCACTGTATGAAATAAAACATGATGACACAACACGGCTAATCGAATTTCAGGAATTAGAAACGAATATTAGCACTTTGATACTTAGGTTTGAAGTTGTTAGGTAAGTGGATAATTCCACACCTCTTTATAAATAGAGTTATGGGACGTAAGTAAACATATACATTGTATCATACTAGTGCAGTTTCCAGATGTGGAGTAGATTTAAACTAACGTTTATAACACCATGCAGCAAGCAGTGTTCACGAACGACCTCAAAAAAATGATGATACAAAAATACTGCATGTCATAACGACATGATGTTGAATAAGTGAGTTTTGTGTAGTACTAACTTACGCCTGTTATCCCTTGTGGAAGGACATAGGCTGCCCACTAGCATTCTCCATCGAAATCTGTCCTGGACAATCTTTTCCAGTTGCTATTTGTTCTTTTGATGTCTGCCTCTAATTCCCGACGCGATATGTTCTTCGGCCTTCCTCTTTACATTTTCCCATCAGGATTCTAAGTTAGCACTTGCCTCGTGATGAAGTTTGATGATTTCCGCAGTGTATGTCCTATCCACTTTCAACATCTTTTACTAATTTCCTCTTCAACTGGTATTTGGTTTTTTCTCCTTCTCAGTAGGCTCTTGCTGATGTCACACTAGTTGTCTTCACTTGATTTGTTGCTGGATATGAGATAGAAGAACCAGGTTATCTGCGAAATCCAAGCTGTCTATATTCCGTGCTTCTCCTGAGATGTGGAGGTCTTCATAATCCAGTCAACCGCCAGAAGAATGAGAAAGGTGGAGAGTAAGCAGCCTTGCCTGACACAGCAGTTGGTGAAAAATTAAAATTATCCCACAGACATACGATAAATACTTGTACGATTTCAATGAAGAACTGTCAACATCTAGAAGCATAACTTTACCGACACGTCTTTATCCCAAAAATAAGTCTGTGCAATCAGATACAACCTAACTCAACACTTCCGGTTATCTCATAATGATAACAAGGAAAACCATTTTTTAGATAAGGAAGTTTCGACAGTTTTGAAATATCAGTGGAAAAATTCAAAACTTCTGGCAAAGTCTCAATCCATATAAATGTAATAAATCACAGATTTTGACAGAATTATTTTGATGAATAAGTGTTACACATTGTAGTACATTTACACAACTTACATGTACTTGTTTTCTAAACGCTCAACTGTCCGTGTATATTCTTCTGCAGCCTCGTTGAACAGTTGTTCATTCTAAAACGTAAATATTCGCAATAAATAATATCACAGTGATTCAATTTCAAAACAATAATATTTGTGATTTAGTGTAAGGCTTTTACGTTACAAATAGGTTAGCCATCTGAATGGAACAATTTGAGGCTGCATAAGCTAAAATCTCTACACTTCAAAACAGAACATGACCAAAAACGTCAAAATAACAGAATCTTTTTGAAAACGTTCATTTAGTTATAGGCAACCGAACACCTGGTGCAAAAGAATATTGGTTCACAATTAACTAATCACTGAGTAGCGGCTAATATCATGTATGTCAAGTCCTTCTTAGCGTTTTTTTATGAAGGTTAAAAAACGCCAAAAAAGACGAAATACATGATATTGGCCAGATAAATCATATTTGTATCACTCAAAAAGACGAGAGAACCAGATCATCACCTGGTTGTGACCAAGATGAAACTGAGGCTAAAGAAACACTGCATAACTGGGAAAACAGCAGTACAAAGGTTCAATACAGCCTTCCTTCGAGATACTAACAAAATCAACCAATTCAAGATAACTCTTGAAAAGAGGTTCCAAGCCTTTTAAGACATACTGAAAGAAGATACTACGATGGAGGACAACTGGGAAGGGATCAAATAGGCACTAAACTCAACGTGTCAGCAGGAGCTGGGCCTCAAGAAGCATCATCATAAGGAATGAACCTCTATGGAAAACCTGGACAAGATTCAAGAAAGGAAGAACAAGACAGCAATCAACAACAGCTGAACACGAGCAGAGAAAGTCAAGGCACAAGCTGAATACGCTGAAGCAAACAAGATAATGAAGAAGAGAATTAAAGCTGACAAGCAGAAATATGTGGAAAACTTAGAAACGACAGCGGAAACAGCTCGAAAAAAGGAAATATGAGACGACTATATGACACGATGAAAAAACTGGCAAGGAAATATAGTAAACCAGAGAGACTGGAAGGCAAGACAATCACTGAGATTCAAGGAAAGAGGTGGGTAGAACACTTTGAAGGACTCTCGAATATGTCATCCACATTGAACTCACTGGACATCGAAGCGGTACACACAAACCTTCCTATAGATGTCACTCCACCAACGACCGAAGAAATCAGAATCTCCATCAGACAAATAGAGAGCGGGAAAACAACAGAGCCAGAAAATATACCAGCTGAAGCACTCAAGTCAGACATGAAAGTAACTGCAAACATGGTTCACCTTCTATTCAAGAAAATTTTGGAGGAGGAACGAGTGCCGATGGATTGTAAAAAAGGATACCTCATCAACATACCAAAGAAAGAAGATCTGAACAAATGCGAGAACTACAGCGGCACCACACTATTATCAGTACAATGAAAAGGTTTTCAACAGTGTTGCTGAACCGGATGAATAACTCAGTAGACACCCAACTCCGAGATCAAGAGACCGGATTCCGTAAGGATCGGTAATGCACAGACCAAATTGTGACACTACGGATCATCGTTGAACAATGAAGCAAATGGAACTCGTCACTATACATCAACTTTATTGACTATGAGAAGGCGTTTGACAGTGTGAACAAGAGAACATTATGGAAACTTCTTCGACACTATGGAGTATATAAGAAATTTGTCAACATCATACGGAATTTATACAACAGACTGAAGCGCGAAACCGTGCATGGAGGACAGCTGACAGACGAATCCGAACTGAGGACCGGAGTCATACAAGGCTGCCTACTCTCCCTCTTCCTCTTTCTTCTGGTGTTCGACTGGATTATGGAGACCTCGACATCTGAGGGAAAATACGGAATACAATGGACAGTTCAGAATCAATTAGACGATTTGGACTTCGCAGATGACCTAGCCCTCCGATCGCATACACATGGACAAATGCAGATAAAGACAGCCAGTGTAGCCGCAGTCTCTGCATCAGTAGGCCTTAACATACACAAACGAAAAAGCAAGATCCTCAGACACACCAGCCCGATCACACCTGATGGCGAAACTCTGGGAGATGTAGAATCCTTCACATACCTGAGAAACATCAGTGAACAAGGAGGATCAGATGCAGACGTAAAGGCGAGGATTGTCAAAGCAAGGGTAACATTCCAACAATTGAAGAACAGATGGAACTCAAAACAACTTTCAACCAATATCGAAGTCAGAATCTTCAATACGAACGTCAAGACAGTTCTAACATACGGAGCTGCAACGTGGAGAACTACTACAACCATCATCAAGAAGGTACAAGTACTTCTAAGCAGTTTTCTATGCAAGATACTCAATATCCGTTGTTTGGATACCATCAGTAATAACCTACTGTGGGAGAGAACAAACTAGCTTCCAGCTGAGCAGGAAATTAAGAAAAGACGTTGGAAGTGGATAGGACATACACTGCGGAAATCATCAAACTTCATCACGAGGCAAGTGCTAACTTAGAATCCTGATGGGAAAATGTAAAGAGGAAGGCCGAAGAACATATCGCGTCGGGAATTTGAGGCAGACATCAAAAGAACAAATAGCAACTGGAAAAGATTGTCCAGGACAGATTTCGATGGAGAATGCTAGTGGGCAGCCTATGTTCTTCCACAAGGGATAACAGGTAAGTAAATAAGTACTTTTTAGTGCTGGTCGAATTCTATCGATTAAGTTGCAATGTGTCCACTAGTAGGAGTGACCTAACACCACATGTACCATGTTGACATCAATTCAAGTTGCCACATCTCAAGAGGACGAGAAATTCACAAGGTGAAAAGCAGAAGAGGAGTGGCAGCAACAATCATTAGAATGGAAATATAAAAGTAAAAAACATGGTTCGGAAGGAACGATTAAATCGAAGAATGAAAAGTACGGTATGACATTAAGTCATTATTTTGAGGAAGATAAAAAATTAATCTAACTGTAACACGAAAATAGATTTCGGGTCATGCCACTCAATGTCTCCGACTGTAGATTGAGACTTTTAAGTAATACTCAGTCATGAAATCCAAATCCCTTGATATTGCTCAGCCTAACAGTTAATTTCTACATGAACTGGCAAAATGTTTTCGAATGATCAACCCTAACCTTATTCCAACTTACTCTCATGCCAACCAGAACTGAGCATCAGCGTAGGCTCTTGCCAGGCATGTGCAAGATATGCCCTAGCCAAGTTGATGAAGATTGATATAGTCAATAATAGATTAATTATTTCCACGTAGAACACGAAGTCTATCCGCAGAATTACTAACTTGCAGGCTCCACCATATTTCAGTTATGCTTATAATAATAATGCTTATAAACACTAGCAATCTTTCCATATTTTGTACCAGTATACCCCATTTTCACAGCCATGGGGCAATACAGAAAAGACTCCGTTTTGAGAAAGTAAAGTTTCTATAATCTTAATAGGCTAGAAGAACGAAGCGAAAATGATATAAGTTAAACTGCTGAAAGTCTTGCTTACGGTTTTGACGGTAACACTTTACTTCTATTACTGGAAACAACATGTTGGTGAAATGTTTACTAGACTGGAGACAGAAATCTCACAGGCTTAATGAATGATAGAGGTATGTGAATGTGAACTTGAGTGTATGTATTAAAAGTCTCATTGGTCACCATCAGACGATATAACCAACTAGGTAAGTAAAGCGGTTAACCACCTAAAGCATCTTGTCCGTTAAAATATAGTAGATGTGGTAGTCGTTTTTCAACCACAAATGTAGAGTACACGGTGGAAATCCCCTTCCCTGGTGCTTTGTCAAAACTCAAAGATTACTAAATTGTTATCATTAGATGAATATCAGAACTAATAGACATGGTGGCGAAAAAACAAAGCGTTATCACGAATAATTGCATAACATTAAAATAAAATACAGATTAGGTGAGAACCGCTTAGCGAATGAAAGGAATAGGGACATTACACAGTTACCATAAGAAGAGGGGAATAGCGTACATCATATCCTAAGGAATAATGCGGATTATTTTTCCAAACCTTTGGATCTAATCGTTTGCGTTAAAGAACTAAGGGCAAGTAATACTCGTAATAAGAAATCCCTACAGAATCGACTTACAAGGCAGATTACTCAGATGCACGTAAGAAACATAAGCAATATGAAATAATACATCAATTAGTCCCTTGTGGTACAATATATGTTGAAATGTTCGTATAAGTGAAAAGACCTGTAGAAAGGGTTTGAATACCCTATTGTCTACTTCAAGACAAAATAAAAAGGAAAACACAATGAATTGCATTGCTTAATAAAAAACAGAAACGTACACGTTTTTCTAATAGTTGCAGGAGCTTTTCGTATCTTCTTTCTGCCTCTTCTAGTTCATGTTTTAAACCTAGGCTATACTGCGGTTTGAACGATTCTGGGGCACGAACGTCATCTCAAAGCTAGGCTAACAAACGATGTACCAACCTTTCGTATTATCCTCGGTGGTAGCAGCATTTTTGATTCGCTTAATTACATCTTCGCTAATCTTACAGACTTATGATGCAACAGAATAACTTACTACAATATCGTCGGGGTGGAAAGTCACATCTCGAGTTTGGTGAGAGGCAGCAGAACCCATATCTAAAAAATTCTTTTATACTAAGAGGTAAAACTTTACAGAAGGACTAGAGTATGAAAAGTATTTATTATTTAAATGTACAATTTCATTTTTACTACTAAGATGTGGATTCCATAATCCATTTAAGGTACGGTGGGTAACCCCCCTCAATGTTTAAGCTAATGATTTCCGGGCATTCATAAGGGTGGATTTCTTTGACAACCTCCGTTAGAGAAGGTACCAACTTTGATTGAGTTTTCGCCATTAGAAGAAGCTCGTCTGACTTTTCCACCTTCCCTTCCCAAACGTAAACAGACTTAACTGAGGGTATGATATTGACACAAGCTGCCAGTTTTCTACTAACTAGAGTATCTGCAATAGTTTCCGCGACTGTGGAATTCGGACAAGTAATTAGAGCTACAGAATACATCGATGTCTTTGAAAACCAGATGCTGGCACCAAATGATGAGATTAACAGACCTATCAAAAAATTGCAAACATGTTTCAACATTAGTGAAGGTGGACACAGACAGCAAACACTATTAACTGACTTGTTACACACCTCGACCTTGAGAACAAAGCTTCCGCAGCATGTGGATTCTGCTCAGTATGTGGATGAATCCCCAAAACAAATAATTCTGCGGGTCTTTGATATTGATCTTGAGATCGTCAGTTTTATTTAACACGCTCTATCTGAAGGTGCTCGGTCAATAAAATACATTAGACCAAACTATGTACGTCATGCTATGCAGCCCTTTCACCTAGCCAGCTTGTAGCACATACCTTTTGACGTATTAACCACCTTACAAATATATCTTCTAACCCCCTTCATCCATGACTTTGTTTGAACTTTTTATGCATGAACGAAGAATAAGTGGGTGGTAGCTTCCAAGAATTATTTATAAACTATGATAATATCCATACACTTATCGTATAATTACTAAGTAATTAGATCATATATATTTATGTTCCCCTTATCATTAGTCTTCATTTGACCGATTAACTACTGTTATACGATTTACAGTTCTTAATTTATTCCCAATCTATTAGTTATTCTCCTATACTCATAACCAGTTTTGGACTGACGTCGTATGATCATTATTTCTCGTCTCATGGACTGATGCGGTCTGGTCTACTTGTATATAAACCACGTATGTCTGGAATAAGTTCATTCATATAGATGAGAGTGATACTTGTGTTCTGGACTGAACGAGTGCTGACTGACAAACTAAGCACCGGGGCAAAGCCATAGAAGTCGATATTCCGACTGGCAATTTTGTCACCTGATAGTTGACGGCCCATTGAACATAACATTCTAGACTAAGGATCCGCGATAATAAAGGTGTTGCGGATGACAGTGTTGTCAAACTCTTTCAAACTCAGATTTTACTAAGGTGTTTTGTAAAGTTGTGCTCACGCCCACAACATAATCACTGAGAGCTGTTCATATACTGCAGTAGCACGCTATCATAAGGCCGTAGAAGATTTCGCACTTAATTATTTTGTAGAAAATGTTGACAAGCTCCCTAAGGCGATACTAAAACTGAAATAATAAATAAAATTTCCATTAGCTAGTATTTAAAGGAAGTACAGTATGGACCCGCGCGCTGCGGGCTGGACGTTACTTTCAGGTCGTGGCCTGCAGCTTTTTCCTGGATAGATTATCTTCCCTTGGAATTACAAAAGATTACTCCATTTTGAATCACCTACATATGAACTGTAAATTTCATACTCTATGATAAGATCACAGTTTAGCATATTCATGGTGTATTTGGTCATATTCACATACTAATTCATATTCATATACGTATTCCTTTTGACTATCCGGCAGAACCATATTCTGTCACTTCAAAACCATACATAACTATGTATGACGAGTAATTGCTTTCAATATTTGTATATTATCCCTTATGTCGTGTTTGGATACTATAACCTACATACTTTACGTATGTACAGGGTCTATTCAGACCTTTGTATGACATTTAAAGATATATGATTATGTACGATGAAGCACTATTCTCTGAGCGTTACATACTTTTTTATATATTAACTTTTAAATCGTATTTGGATGCTATAACTCAATAAATTTCTGGAATTTCCTGTTCACTTCGACGAGTCTGTCAGAGTTTTTGGTCAGTATTTTTACCTAAAAAGCTATTTCATATATTTGGTCATCAAGCATCATAATAACTCTAAATGGTAATAATCTTTAAAACTACTTATCTCTGCACCTCCCAATTTTAAATGATTCAGGCTTTGTTTATACATGTACCACAAACCGTACCCACTTTGAGTGTTTCATAATTGTTATCGACGGTTCTAGATTACTTTATTATGTAAGTCTACCGTTCAGTGTAATCTACACGTTAAAATTTATCCAATGTGCATATATATTCTATTTTACCTCCTTACATATACTAAATTTTAAACTTCCTGAAATTTTTCCCTGCTGTATTTGTCATCTTCACCAATCTTCACGATACATTCACTGTTGTTTCAAACACAGACTTTGATTTCCAAACTATCTTAAGCCCTCAGCACTGATTTTTTCACCTGTTTCTATCTCCAACACTTTGCCCAACCCATATGCTGCTTACCACTTTCTTATCATGCCTTAAAAAGAATTGAAAACCCCGATAGCCAAACTTAAGAAAATAAAGCGATCTAACACCACTACTGACACGATTTCTGACAGTTTCAACGAGACGAGTTACTCCGTTCATCCGGAAGCAGCTTATACCAGTTGTCTCCATTTCAGACATGTTGAAGACTCTGTTGGTAAACGGTGGTGATATTCACAGCTGCGACTATATGAACGATATAAGAAAGTTGAAAGTTGACATGAAAATTCTCAATCAGCCTAAGTATCTCATCAAACCCAACCTTTCAGAGGTTCCAGATCAGATTAGTGACACAAATAATTTCCCAGATAGTGTTGCTTCGGACGTGTTTCAAGAACTTGACGATCTACCAGTGCGATTGTGTTTAATATCTCAGATACATATGCCCTTAAAAATATCAAGTCAAATGTGCTTGGAGCCATCAATATGACACATGTACCATGTGTGTGCATAAGACTAAAAAGAATTCACCCTGATATGCACTCGTCGATCCTGTTCAAATTCGACTTATCTGCAGACGCTGGCGAGTTTCTGACTTTCCCGAATACGATTAGATAAAAAGAGATTTTCAAGGATATTAAAATTCTTCGTGATAAGACATCACGCAATGGGAAAGCAGGAATATATAGTCACAGACCACTAGCGTCAAACTCATAAACTCATCATAACCCTTAATTTCGTAAAATTAAGTTCGATTTTAGGAGGAATTTTGACGTTACAAATATGCCACCACTGATAAACACTCCTGAACCTCTTAAAGCTCAGAACCCAGAAGTTATTAATCCTATGTCGGTGGTGTTCATTCTCCTAAAAATGCTTATTTAGATCTAACCCCAATTAGTCGTACTGATAACGAATGAGACAATACCGTTCAAGACCCCGTCAGTGCAACACCCAGTGTCAGTAACTGTACAACGTCTAACGGGCGAAACAGTTGCAATAATTATATAACTGACCACATACTGAACACCGATATATTCGAACCTTGCAAACCATCGCAAGTATGTCTAACAACACTCGATTATCCATAAATTACGAAGGAGCTAAAACAAACCACAAACCTTGGAAATAAATGTATGGGACATGTTACACATACACCAGGTATAAAAAGTAAACCGAATTGTAAACGACCACTTCGTCGCATACAGATCTGATAGCCTTTTTGGTCCGGCCCCCTACATGTACTCTATGCCTCCATCAGACGTTATGATTAATAACAATCAGGAGACATCTCTTGTAATTCCGTCGACTTTTATGCTGACAATGGTAAACATGTTACAAGTGGTGACAAATTTGTTGAATTTACTCCTCCTCACAACATAATTCTTATCATAGCCAATTCCAAGAGTATTCATAGGACTACAACTTGTGATCTATACTCAAGCCTGCTTCATCATGATACCTCTCAGTTTCTAATTCTTTAATTTACTGCCCGCTCTCTGTCCAATAAAATTACTCACGTTAAACCCCTTTACATCCTTATAAATCCAACCCTTGTGCTTATTACGGAAACGTGGTGCAAACAATCCATGTCCGATTGCTCTTTACACGTGAATAACTGTTTTCTTTCGAACCGATAGACGTCATGGAATGGGAGGTTGTGCAATTATCTGTGTGCGTTCGGACATTCAGGCGTGTGAATTTGAGAATAAATGTTTTGTTGCTATAGATGACTCCACTTGGGTTACTGTAAATTGTGGGTCGCAAAATTATCTACTGATGGGATGCATATACAGACCACACCATGCGGATACTTTGACAAATTGCTAACAAACATATTTTCATTGCTTCGCACCAACTGCATACGTTAATGAATCTGCCGAACATTAAATGGAGTCCGACTTCGGTATCAGGTTTGTGTGACAAGTTAGTTGAAACATTAGAAATTTGTGGGTGTGTTCAACAAGCCCAAAAGCCGACTAGGGAGAATTATATACGTGATTTATTATTTACAGTCAACACAGACTATATCTCAGTGCACGTCAGTAATGAATTTATTATGTGGGATTATAGAGTCCTATCGAGTATTATCTATTACCTAAACACGATACAAATAAACTCCAAGGCTGCAAAAATAAACCACAGCTGGCAGTTTGATCAACAAACCTGGAAGCGTACTGAAACTCTTATTTGATGCTTACCATGGAAACCTTATTTCACCACAAATAATACTGACAATGAGCTTTCCGACATATGCCATAACCTGATATATTACCTTGATGGCACTGCCCCAGCTACCAACCATGTGGCTTATAATGCCAATAGGGGGCCAAAATACTTTTAAAACCTTCAAGAGAAAGCTAAAACTGCAACATCGCTACCACAAGCACCATGACGTGTATGCGCCTCAGAGTATACTTAGCTTGATCGACAGAAATGATTCATCTAAACGTAAGTATTCTATGACTATGGAGAATAAATCTCTAGGTACTAAGCCCAGAGTTATCAACCTGTCGGCTATTTAAATCCCATGTAAAATCAAATTCCCTTAGCACAACCAAATTTTTCATGGTTGACGGATACTATTTGCGAACAATTCAGCCGGCATTTCTCGAAACGCTACAACGCTGAAATCGAAACATCTCTCAGTACATTTCAAATGTTAACATCTATACATCTGTCTAGAGTCGATTTCATATCCATCACATATGAATGTGTGCCTGACAAGATTCCTTCATCATTTGTGAAATATGGTAGTAGATAATCGTTTTTATTTTGTTTGAAACTGTTCAACATATCTATGGACTATAGAGCCTATCCATTTCCGTGGAAAATACAGCTTATCACCCCTAGAATCAAAATGGAATCAAGTGGAGATATTGCCAAATATAGGCTAATTAACTTGACATATGTGCTATCAAGAGCCATGGAAAACATCATCCACAAACAGCTATTACCACTTTTACTTTCGGCTAACCGGATTAGCCAATGACTAAATGCTCATGCTTTACATCACACCTGAAATTTTTCGA